AAAGCCTAAACAAGTAAAAGCTTATAGACGTAAAAGCTTATACTCGTTATAGCTTATAGACGTAAAAGCGTAAAGCCGTAAAAGCGTAAAGCCGTAAAAGCGTAAAGCCGTAAAAGCGTAAAGCCGTAAAAGTGACTTCTGTTAGTCTGAACGCCGTGAAACATTTACGCTTTTCGAAAGTCGTAACGGCGTAACGCTCTCGACATGTATGTCCTCAACAGAATATTTAAGCGGTGTTTCGACCAATATCCGAATCGTCAAAATATTTTTTTTCATTATGCATAGTGCTGGGTACTAGGCTGTCTAACTAAGCACTACGTCGTACTGCTGAGCACCACGTTTTATTGAAAGTGCGTAGTGCTGAAGTGCTGAACACGATGAAGTTTACTAATTATTTATGAAATTAATTAGGCAAATTAAGGTTTGGTCCGAAATTGCTTTTAGACTTTCAATCAGGGCCGAAAATCCGGGAAAAAAAATTCGTGGACCAAAATTCATGTAACCCTTATGTATTGGCATGATCCACATTACTTTTTCAACGGTAAGGTTAAATTTAGAAAGAATCTTTGCTCTGATTTGCTCAAGATGTCACGAATGTTTTGAATACATTGTCTCGACCTTTCTGGTGAGTGTGAGACAATGCTTAAAACGAATCTGAGTTCAAAAAAGGTTGATGCACATAGAACAGTACTCTGGAGTGATCGGACGATTGACCATAGTGTGGGCCCTTTTCTGCCTAAAAAGTAACAAACTAAGTATATGATTAGAATCAGCAAAGTCCACTCACTTTTCTCACCCTCACTACACAGCATTCAAGTTGCAGAAATAGAGAAAATTGGCTATACGCACATTTCTGCACGTTATGCGAAAATTAGCCTGGCACCTTTTGCGATTTCCTCTAAAGTGTCATTTTTATTAAAGCTGGAATCATATTGATAACTAGCATTAAAATCAGCAAATAAAAGAATAAAGAACTATGTTGTGCCGTATGATAGTTAAACATATATTATATCCAAATATATGTTTTCATCTTATACGATATGCGTTGCTCCTCCCCAGGTCGAATTCGCCCGATTGTATCCGGAGATCAGAATGTGTTCAATTCCTTCGCGTTCCGATATTTGGTTCCTGAAGGATCTTGGCGAGGTGCCGAATTCCGACAACTTCCCTCATGTTCTAGTATCGGATCCGCCAGGATCTTTACACCGTAATCAACCACCTGGGTCGACGTGTATGTTGTGACCGAACTTGGAATTCGACCAGATTCCGAATTTGGTCAGTCAAAAGTTGAATTCTAACTCTGACTGTACGATAATGAATGCATTTATTAAGAACTTCAGATATATTTTATCTTCAACTCTCTACTTTTATTTTAATAGCTTGGTTACGCTTTGCAACTATCTCTCCCCGTAAGCAAAGCTGACAATGAATGATTGCCGCAAAGGCGCAAATGGTGTCTGGAACGGAGAAAGAAAAATTATGTTCTACATAGTGCAACAATGAAAACCTCAAGTCTTCTTTTGTTGCACTCAGTCGACTCGAAATATAGGATTATCTGGTCACGGGCGAGAAGTTTTAATTATGCAGCACAGGTACTCTCGTCGAAGAAAATGTCAGTACCAGACATACCGAACTCTAATAGTTATTTCTACTTCCATGAATCACTAAGTACAGTTTATACTTTGGTAAAACAATCTTTGAACATTCAAAATATTTTCTAAAATTTTTGATCCCTCGTCTACCACGTTGTATTATGAATTCCTGATTTCTAAAAGTGAAAAGATCCATATCCAAATTGTAAAAATCATTCGACGTATGCGGCTAAAACTCGTAACAATTCACCTTCAGCATTTTTCGAATGCCGAAAATCATAGACCACTATCAAGCACAAGGGTGTCGCCGCACAGTGGGCAATTTTGGCTAGAGCAGGCGGACATGTGCTTTTAATTCAATAATAACTTTTGATAGAAAAGAGCTAGAGAGCTCTGATTTTCGCCATTCGAAAGAGGAGACTTGAAAGCATGTTTTCATAACCAACATTGTTTTCAGAAGAGTTGTCTGAAAAAGGTTTTCTAGGAGATCTTTGGAAAACTAGGCCATCTGTAAAAATTTTCCAATAGGATAGTATTGCTGTTTTTTCATGCACTGTTAGGTGTTCTCTTCAAAATTGGAGTAGAGTGGGACCTTGATTTTCCGCGGTTCGGGGGTTATATCGGATTTCCTACGAGTCCCAGGACTGGCATACGGTGACTGTTGGTAGCCTTGAAGATGGATGGAATATGGGTAATCGACCATGCTGAGCCTTCTGGCAATGTTTGGTTTTAGAAAAGTTATAAAAATCTACCGAAAAGCGAGTTTTACGAAAATTTGCGATTGCAGGCTGTTCTCACCTAATATTAAAAAGTTCACTATTGACTCAATAAACATCAGAACGAGTTCAAAATTTCAGAATGTAGAGTATTTAAACTATTCTATATCCTGTTTATAGGAGATCTCAAAAGAAATTTTATAAAACCCTGAGGTTTTCCATAAGGTTTTCTGGAAAACCCAATAATAAAAGAAGGTATTTTGCTAATTTTCCGACCGTATGATCACGTTTGGCGAAGGAAATCAACCATATCCTGGAAGTTTGAACTCGTTCTGATGTTTATTCAGTAAATAGTGAACGTTTTAATATTAGGTGAAAACAGCCTGAAAACGCAAATTTTCGTAAAACTTGCTTTTCGGTAGATTTTTAGATTTTTTTCTAAAAATAAATATTGTCACAAGGCTCAGCATGATCGATTACCTATAGTCCATCTGTTTCCAGGCTACCAATATATTGGTAGCCTGGAAAACAGATGCACTATAGGTATAATAATAGGTAGCATCCAGCTTTGCCCCAAGAGCGTTCGAGATGTTCAAACTCTACCGCGTACCGTAAACTTTGAATGCGAATAGATGAGAATAATAAAACACAAAACTATTATACTGAGAAGGAATCAATTTTCAAGACAGGATTTATACGAACTGACACGACAATATTTCTTAACACATTTCCAATATTTTGAATCATCTGCATTTGTATGATGACAATAATATTGGTAGCCTTCATGACATAAATGAGTTTTGTCATAAGTTGATTGTACAAATTCTATTTTCGACATGATTATGATTGATAAAGTTTAGATTGGAAGATTGGTGATGTACCATATATATTATCCATCGCTTTATATCTATTTCTGATAATATTACGTATACTACTTAATTTTCCTTACATTATATACATTGTTCAGCTTAGTTTTTATTAAACACATTGTTTACCTACCTTTACATTGTATATATTAATTGGTCGCGCTTAAATTTCCATTTTCTTCCAAAACTATGACAAAGGTTTTGGAAACAAAAACTAGATAGGGTTTCGTTTTTAAATCCTGCAGGAACTAGATATTTCAAATATTTAGAGGGATAGTGTTCTGTTCATTTTGATTTTATTCTGACTCCTTTATTATGTTATACTTTCTCATTTCTTAATTAGATTAGCAATCAAGCTATTTTTCTTTTCTTTTTTTCACAAATTAATTGATATAGGGAACTAAACCCTTACCTTTTCTAAAAAGAAATTTTTTTCTGCATTTTGTATTATACGAAACTAAATCCTCGGGAACTAAATCATGTATGCCGTCACAATACATATAAAAAACGAATGCTATTCCATCATTCTATTTCATTTATTGATTTTACGAAGCAGGGTATTAATAATAATAAGCTATCTAGCGTCAAACCAAAAGAAAAACTTAATTCAAGAAGAACACAACTACACAATGATTATTAGGCATTCTACTGTAATTGTAGCCTTCTCATATTATCAAGGAATGGTTATGATCAATGTCTTTGCCCACTATCTTATTGTGCTTCATAACGCTAATATCAAAGCGACCGTGTAACAATTTCATTTCACACTGAAACATTTAGTTCATTCAATTCTTCAACAATTTACAACTCAGTTTTTATTTAATAAATATCAGAAGCAATCATGTTTTGACCCATGAAAACACCGTTCATTTTCCCGAATTTATTTGCCGGATTTAAAAATGTGAAAGTACCCAAAAGCTGAATAGCAGAAATTCCGGTTTTTGCGCCTCTGATCTGGAAAAGATGAACTTTCGCAATGGAACCATCATTAAACGAGCTTTAAAAGTACATACCTCTCTTTCTTTCATCGTGCTTTGTCATTGAGAAAGTTCATATTTTCTAGATCAGAGGTGCAAAAACCGATTGAAATTTGGCAATGACATGACATCAGTGACGCATCTAAAACGGAACCCTTTCAAAATCATCAGAATGATTTCATTGGATTCTACATCAATTTTAAAATATAGTTATTCAGTTTTTCAAAACAAAACTCGCACTTTTTATGAAATTTGAGACCGTTAAAGCTTTTTCAAACTTTTATACTGAAAACTTTCACTAATAAGGCTAAACGCTACATATTCTTCATCGGTTCGATGAGTCAAATCAAAGGTAGTGTCGAAGTACTGGCGCCTTACATCATACGACGTAATAATTGAGTTTTATTGAAATTTTATACAGTTTTGCCCGAAATCGACCAAGTCATTTTCAAAATAAAGTCGTCAGTTTTGCGTCGACTTGGTTTTATAGATAAAAGCTGATGTAGAATCCAATAAAATCATTCTGATGATTATGAAAAGGTTTCGTTTTAGATGAGTCACTGATGTCATGTCATTGCACAATCTCAACTTCGTTTCAATATAAATGGAAGAAAACGAAGAGAAAAGAAATAGAGGTCCGAAGTGTTCGGGTTACCTACATAAAGCTTAAACTATTCACTTAACTCTTTCCGGACACATCATACGACTTCATACTTTTTTGTCTTTTTTATTCTGCATTTATCTCGGTCTATAACAGTCACTGGTGATCGAAGTCCATCCGTAGACAAGTCAAACTTCTATAAGAGAAGTATGCTACAAACAACCGGACAAGGAAATGAGCCTAAAATGCGAACATTCCGAGGATTAAAACGGGATGCAGCTCAACGGTTAACTAAAGATCCTATGAAATCAGCCAATGTAAGTATATGTTACTGGAACATTATTAATTATTAATTATTGTTTTTATGTTCAAGTTATCGGAAAGTGTGCCAACGATGACGTATGATGCTACAAAAGAAATGAATGAAATATTTCATCCAACAAGGTAATTTTCTCAATTGATTCAGAACAATTATTAAAGCAGTAAAATTTTGTTTACTATCTCTTTAGTTAACATCAGAGAGAAGAGTAGGTCAGACTGCTTTTTTCAAAGCGCATGAGATTTTATTTACTGCATATGCCTTTTACGCAGAAGATTAATTTGTCTTCGCTTTCTCCCCAGAAGATATAACTAATGAATCATTCTTCTGAGAAAATAATCGACATTATGTCTAATCTTGTCAATACGAAAAAATTTAAAAGACAGTTTTTTCCTATAAAAATCTTTAACAAAAAGAGATGAATCAAACGCTTACTCACAAAAGAGATCTTTATATTGTTATGATTAAAATTTTTAACATTTCTGTTTGACGCATGTGCATGTGATTGAAAATTATTGTTCGATTAAACAGCCTATATATGTGTATTATTATTCATTCTGAAAATTCAACGTCTGTTTTATTTCAACATTTTATCTATTTATGTTTATTTGTTAGCAAACGTGACCAAGTTTTATCCAACGAAGTAATGGATCGTCTTGTCCCGTTACTAGAACAACATCAACAAACGGATGTTCCACCATCAACATTCAAACAACGAGTATCTGTCGATACAGGTGATACGGACATATTAGCATCGCTATTTAATTCGGAACGTTTATCACTTCCTCCTATGCCATTACAAAGTCAAATTCCTTTAACACAATTGATTTGATCACCACCTCTTCCATCTTCAACGGTAACAACAATACCAAACACAGCTACAACAGCGGTACAACCGTCGCCTTTTAATCGAACAGAGATATGGGTATCTCGTTTACCACCGATGCCAAATGTATCGCATGCTGACTATGAATCACAGGCGTAATATTATCTATTATTGGAATGCCTTAACTCAGGAGTCCTTTTTTAACTGATACAGCATTCTTTTCTTATATTCATCCTTCATTGTTAGAACGGTTTCATAAGATTCTTTTTTGTTTTTGTTTTTGTAACAGCGTCTTTAGTTTATTTATGTAAAAAGAAAGTCTCCTTATTATTGTTGTAAAATGCTGATCTATTTTTTCTTGTATTTTAAAAATTAAATGTATCTCGCATTTCTTTTTATTAATTTCTGTTTTATTTGTATACGTACATAATTCAATGTTCATGATACTGTCTACATGTTATGACACGTAAATAAACCGAAACTGAAATGGATCAAATTCTTTTAAAAGTCTTAGTACATGATATTTTGTCAGTGTAAATTACCCGAACATCAAATAGTAAGTCCATATGATGAGTATTTTTGATGTTATCGTCCTACACAAACTCCTACTCATTACTACTTCACATTTTCGTGGAAGATTCATGATTCATCGTGTTAATTCAATTGCAAGAGGGGAAAAGTAGCACCCAGTGCCGATTAGGGTGCGGAAAGGTGCCGTAAGGTACTACCTTGCAAAACATATGGTAGTGGGATCGAATCACACATTGCACGGATCCTTTCGTCTACAAATAAACTTGGAGAAAGACGTTTGGCTGCATTTACATCATACTGCTAAGAAGACAACAATACTTAATTTTTGATTAAAATGAAACCAAAATAATAATAAAAAGTTCGCGATCGGATTCGATCCCTTTACCCATTCGCCATCTTGAATTTTACGAAGCGAGAACATTATACTGGCAGACTAAACCGATCGTTTTGGTTGCTACTACCTTGTTTTGGTAAAAGGTGCTGAGGTGCTATACTAAAAAGTGCTTTGCCACCCTTGATCAATTGACTGTATACCTAAATCAAATACAAGGAGGTTAATAAAAATCTTACCGTGTCTTGTCCTTTCAATTGTTTGAAAAAAGATTACTTTATCGTTCATTAATTATAGAGTTTGGTGTAAGAAGCAAAATATATTCAAGTTACCGTCCTGGAAATAATTATATCGTCGTAGTTTCACATGAACTAGTCGGTTTTTTTTGCTTTTTATATTCTACTCTGTCGCCAACATTTTCGTACGAGTTAGTTTGTAACTATATAAAATCGAACAATACTAACCAAACGTATGATAAAAAAAGGTGGCAATCAGGTTGACTGAACATTTACCCAATAGCATTCTTGTTAAAGAACGATGGCTAGGTTGCGTTTGTATGTTCAGGACCCAAAAGCCGATAGTCCCTAGTTAAAAACTAGGGAAACTACGAAGGATGCATTATTTTTTGTGACGAAAACTTGAATACACTCTACCTTGTCGCCAAAAAATCATATAATTTAGAGACGAGAAAAGAGAGAATGATGTTGAAAGCATTATTGCACAGGCTTTTTATGTGTTTTCCTCTCAATCTTACACAACCGTTGGAAAAGTCAGTAATTACACAACAGTCTGTAAAGTTTCTATGATCCTTTAAACGTCTTTTCTTATTGCTCTTGTATTGTTCTTATCGTCTAAATTTACAGCTGCCTATTCATCTTTAGCAAATAATGACTCTTTTATTCACTCAAGTTATTGTTGTTCTCTTGATTACAGCTCAAACACTAGGTCAAAATGTGCGCATATTTTATTTAAAATAAAATAGATGCATAATCTTCATCTGTAATAACACAAATATTTAGATGCAGATCGTTTTTAATTCTCTTCATATTGAAGGTTGTTGAAAAACCTACTTTTATTCAAAACTAAGAATTTACTTTGCTTTCTCGGTAGATTAACCTTTAAACAAGCGATAGAACATATATGTTTTTTATCACAAAATTGTAATAAATTAAAAGTAATGATTTTTATGAAAAGAATGGCTGTATACTATATTATGAGATTTAGTCCCCTCTATTCAGTCCTTTTCTAAATTTCGCCAGAACTTCTATGTATCCCTGATAGCTACAAACAGTCACCGCACACGCGCAGCATCGTTTTCTTGTTGACTCAACCCCTGCATTTGATATAGTCCAGATCAAAGTCCACTGTATCCTATCAGCGACAGAACTTGGCCAACGAAAAATTCGTCTGTCAAAGCGTTAACGGTTGAATCTTTTGAAATTTTAGCATAAATCCAAAATTGTACTTTTTTCCTGTCGTCATAATTATCTAAGTATATGGTAACCACGAAGAATAATCATAAATTATTACAAAAATGCAACTATGTCTCTAGCCGCGTCAGCACAT